TCATGGCGGGGGTCATGACACTTCCCCAGATTTCATGGCGCCGCTTCTGATTTCATTACGTCCCTGGCCCCCCCGCTGGGCCGCGCACATGCCGCCGGTCATGATTTGCACCCCCCCCTCTTGGACACCCCCCTCTTGGCCGCTCCCGATGGAGGTAGGGGGGTCGGTCGGGAGGGGGGTAGCTCACATCCCTGACCCGTGGTCGTCGTGGCCGGGGCCAGGATGTCTCACCAGATCTCCTGGCCCCCTCTTCTTCTTCTTCTTCTTCTTTCGACACGTGCCCTGGTTCCCCCCCCTGGGCCGCGTACGTGCCTCCAGCCATGATTTGCGACGCCCCCTCTTCGCAACCACTGGCGAGGCGTCCTAGCTTGCCGATTAGGCCCACCAAAGGGTGTTCTAATAACTTTCTGCTGTGGTATGGACGAAATGTTCTTGGACAATTTCTGGCTGAGGCCGTCTTGTTTTAGCACATCGGCTCTGTATGTTTCGCGAAACATGAAATCGGGTCCAGCAGTTCCTGCTCATTTTGAGTAGGACTCGCTGTCGGCGCCACCGCGGTCGCGGGGTGTTTGGAGTCCTCGTCCTGGTCCTCGTCGTCGCTGTCGTCGTCGTGATCGTCGTGATCGTCGTCGTCGTTGTCGTCATCGCCGTCGTCGCCGTGGTCTGTCGCCGCCGCCGCCGCCGCCGTCGTCGTCGTCTTCGCCGTTGTCGTCGTCGTCGTCGTCGTCGTCGTCGTCGTCGTCGTCGTCGTCGTCGTCGTCGTCGTCGCCGCCGCCGCCGCCGCCGCCGCCGCCGCCGCCGCCGCCGCCGTGGCCGTCGCCGCCGCCGCCGCCGCCGTCGTCGTCGTCGTCGTCGTCGCCGTGATCGTCGTCGTCGTCGTCGTCGTCTTCTTCGTCGTCGTCGTCGTCGCCGTCGTCTTTCGTCCCTTTCCACGCCTTGCGATTTCGCCCTCTATCTCAGGCCCCTGGGCCGTCACGGATTTGCCCCTCTTGAGGCTCGCCGCAGATAGATGGGGTCTGGGACCCAGGTGGTGATCTCCTGCGATGTTGTTTTTTCGGAAGAGCGTCGGATCTCAGGAGATCTTGGCGTTGCGTTTTCCTTTCGCCCGTCGATGCCTCCCCGTTTCGGCCCCTCGGACCCTGGTTTGTCCATCCGGCTCGAGAGAGTGCCGCAGAACAAGGGGCCCAGGGCTCCCGTTTTGATTCAGAGCAGCAAAACGTCCTGATCATGATGCGCTCCCAGAGTCGCAGGCCTAGAGGTTGACACCAACACCAAGATCGGCGGTGTGCCTCCACCGAGGGAAGAAGATCCCGATCTCGGTGATGGTGGTAATACTCTGGCTGCCGAGGCGACCAGAATATTGCCACCAGCACCGAAAATCTAGGATCACCTTCCCCCTGTGGAGGCAGCCCCCTGGGCTGGTGTTGGTGCCCATTTCCAGGCCTCCACTCATGGGGGGGAGGGGCTCCGTGGGGGGGGGGCATCTCGGGCTCTCGGGGCTCGCGGTCGGTTCTCGTCGGGTTCTCGGCCTCGGGGTGCGCTCCGGCGGCCGCGCCTCGCCGGGGGCGCGCTCCAGGCGTGCCCGGGATGCTCCCGACCAGCCGCCAGGGGCCCGCTTGAATGATCAGAGACATCGCCAGGGGACGGGCGTAGTCCATCCTTCCTCCTCTTCCTCTTCCTCCTCCTCCCCCTCCTCCCCCGCCTCCTCCTCTGCCTTCTCCTCCTCCTCCTCCTCCTCCTCCTCCTCCTCCTCCTCCTCCTCCTCCTCCAGGGGGGGGTGCTGCATCGCCCCCCACTCGCCCAATCGTCGCCGACGGGCCTGCAAGCCCATCCCGCCCAGGAACGCCGACCCGTCGGCGATGCATCGCCGATTCCGGCCCGATGTTTCCCCCCCTGAGCTTGTCCCCCCCCTATCGTTGCCCCCCTCTTAATTACCGCTGGTGGGGATCGCGCGGAGGGCCGTCGGCGCCATGCCCGCGCTGGACAGCGGCCGCCGCCGCTAGATCAGATCGGCGGCGAGCCCAGGGGGAAAGCGAGAGGGGGCAGGCCTTCTCAGAAGGCGGTGGGGCTTCTGAGAAGCCCTCGAAGGCTTAGCTGGCTCCTCAGAAGGCCCGGGGCCTTCCGAGCCTTCCGAGGAGGCCCGCCCCCTCTCGCGTTTCCCCCGGGCTCGCCCTCGATCCAGAGGAGGGCGAATCGAGGCGACAGCAGTCGGCCCGCCCCCCCTCGTCGCCACGGCTGGACGCAGCTCGGGAAGCTGGTGCGTTTGGACCCCGCTGTAAGGGTCCGGGGACCGATGTTGAGCTGCCGTTGGCTGCGGGCGATGCTCATTTCCTAACCTTCGGCTTTCCGACGAAAAGTGAAGCGGCTAAGAAAAGGAGGGGGTCCCTGGGATACACCCCCATGGGGGCTATTCGGACGCACCCCTGACGAGGAGGGACGCCCCCCCTCGTGTATCCCGGGGTAGGGCCCCAGACTTCGGGTCCGTCCGAACGCCCCGCGAAACCTGGGATAGCTGTCGACATGTTCTTGTTAGTTGTCTCAGCTCGCCTTGCTCCGAGACTCTGGGCCTCCAGAGAACGGGCTCGGCTGCGCGGAAATTCGCGCGCAGGCTTCCCGCGCAAGCTGGCGCGTGAGTGCCCTCGCTTCCACTGCAGCGTGTCGAGTTGGTGGCCCGCGGAAGACACCGCGTGGGGTCGCTATGTCATCGTGCGTGAGACCCGTTTCCTCCCGTCGCTCAGATGGGGTCGGAGTAGATGAGGTCGGAGGATCGCCGATGCATCGGCGATACGGCTCGATGCGGAGCTCGATTTCTCCACGCCGACGTCGCCGATACATCGCTGGTGCATATGTGATGCGCCAACGATGCGCGGTGCTCCCTAATTCAATCTACGCTGACCCTATCCGAGAGGCCTCTTTTGGGCGGATTGATTTACTCAGTCTTGGTGTTTTTCCATCACATCTTGCCTCTGGTTCAGAGGAGGAGGAGGAGGAGGAGGAGGAGGAGGAGGAGGAGGAGGAGGAGGAGGAGGAGGAGGGAGGAGGAGGAGGAGGAGGAGGAGGAGGAGGAGGAGGAGGAGGAGGGGAGGAGGAGGAGGAGGAGGAGGAGGAGGAGGAGAGGGAGAGGGAGGGAGGGAGGGAGGGAGGGAAGGGAGGGAGGGAGGGAGGGAGGGAGGGAGGGAGGGAGGGATGGAGGGAGGGAGGGAGGGAGGAGGAGGAGAGAGGAGGAGGAGGGGAGGAGGAGGGAGGAGGAGGCGGAGGAGGAGGAGGAGGAGGAGGAGGAGGAGGAGGAGGAGGAGGAGGGAGGAGGAGGGGAGGAGGAGGAGGAGGCGGAGGAGGAGGAGGAGGAGGAGGAGGAGGAGGAGGAGGAGGAGGGAGGAGGAGGAGGAGGAGGAGGAGGAGGAGGAGGAGGAGGAGGAGGAGTGGAGGAGGAGGAGGAGGAGGAGGAGGAGGAGGAGGAGGAGGAGGAGGAGGAGGGGAGGAGGAGGAGGAGGAGGAGGAGGAGGAAGAGGAGAGAGGGTTTTTTTTTTTGCTCGAAGCGGGCCCGTCGCTGGGCACCTCCTTGGCATTTGCACGCCGCACTTGGTTCTGTACCCCGGGGTGGGCGTACGTGCGGCCGCTTCTGCGCGGGCGTGTGCGCACGTGCGCGCTGCGTGCGCCGGGCGGCCGCCTGAGGCCCCGCCCGCCTGTGCTCTGTCTCCCCGATTAGTGCTCTGCGCGGCCCGCCCAGCTCTTGACCGGAAGGGGCTCGCTCTCGACCCGCCGACCAAAAAAGTGCGCGCGCGTGCTCGCGGGCGCGCGCCCCGCTCGTGCCCGGCCTTTTGCGCGAGCCCTGTGGGGTCCGAAGTCCAGCTGTTCGAGCAGGGGATAATGGCATGTTTTTTCCCCCCCTTCTTCTTCTGACTGTGCATGCGCGCCTGGGCATGCGCAGGGTCATGTGCGCCGAGTTGGTACATCATGTGTCTGCACACGCCCGCACGCGCCGGCGCACGCGCGCACGTGCCCGTGCAGTCCTCCTGCGGGCGACCGCGCGGGCCCGCACATGGCACCCGCACGCGTTGAGGCGGTCAGGCCGCGTTCGCCTGAGACATCCTCGCGCGATGCAGGTATGGTGTTTTTGAGCAGGTTCCTTTTGTTGTTTCATTTTCTGACGAACCAGCAACACACACACATACACACCCATACCCATAGGGGGATCGGAGAGGGCTATGGGTGCGTGTTGTCGGATGGGGGATCCCCGCTCGAACGGGAGCGTTCCCCAGGGTCCGACAACCCGCACCCATACCCATAGCCAGTCCTCCTCCCAACGACCCCCCTATGGGTATGGGTGCGTGTTGTCCGTTCGTCATTTTAGTCAAGTAGCACCAGTGCTAACGGAATCAGTGACAAGCCGAAGGCGTGACGAACACGACGAGTTTCGGTACCAGGACCCCATGCCATCGTTGGACGCCACGGCCAGCTTCTATGAGGTTTTCTCCCTCTTCTCCCCGTTCTTTCTGCTCCTCCAACCTCCTCTCTCCTTCCGGTGAGGCGTGCCGCTCCTGAGATCAGGAGGAGTGCGACGCCTTCTGGGACAGAGCCCTGGACGGGCGCGTGGCACCTCTTGAGCGTGCCCGCCCTTCTCACCAGCATGGCTGCAACCGCACGGCCCCTTCTCCTTCCCCTCCGCTCGGAGGAAGGAGACGCGATAGCACCACCACGACGGGGGCCATCTCCAGCGATGATTTCCAGGATGCCTCCCCGAGCTGGGGATCGGAGATGTGCCGAGCGAGAGGGGGGGACTACACCACCAGGAGGATCTCTCCCCTGACTCATCGTGCTGGTGGTGGTCGCGTCGCTCCTCTGATGAGGGCCAGCTGAGAGAACGGCGGCTTTCCCGCTGGGCCCAAATCTGCTCAAAACCTGTCCCCTGGCCCAGCGTCTCGATGCGGACTCGATGCGGACCTGGCCGTGGAGACGAGGAAAGCCTCCAGGAGGCCCCAGAGGGCGATAGAGCGCCAGGGATGGCCGGAATGCCTGTGAGCTGCCTCCTCGACGAGCGCGCCTCTTGGGACACGGTCCCCCGAGTGCTGCTCCCCAGAGGCAAGAATTCTACAGGACAGCTCCATGACGCCTATCCTCCGATCTCCTCGCCCCCACTCGCGGCGCCATCACCCTGGCCTCTCTCTCCAGAGCGCGTCCCTTGTGCTCCGCTGTAGCCCGCGCCCTGAGGTGCTCCTCTCCCCGTCGGCTCGTCGTCGTCGTCGTCGTCGTCGTCGTCGTCGTCGTCGTCGTCGTCGTCGTCGTCGTCGTCGTCTCATCCATTCCTTCTCCTTCTAGATGACTCCTCCCTGTCGCACCCCGAGGCGGGTCGAAAGGGCGGGCCAGCCGGGCGTTCTGCCGGAGACTTCCGCACAGCTCACGAGCCTGAAGTTGTAAAAGTTGGCTAGAGTCGCACGGATGAAGGGCGGTCCGCTTTCAAAATGTGGCTCTCGCCGTAGCACCGCGCACGCTCGTCTTCAACAAATGGAAGAGTTTCACGGATGGAGGGCGGTTCCTATTCAACATGAGGCTCTCGCCTTGGCGCCGCGCACATGCGTTTAAAATATTTGCAAGACTCTTACGGATGGAGGGCGGCTCATTTTCCCAAAAATGTGGCTTTCGCCCCAGTGCCGCGCACATTCTTTTTCGATGGAGGTCGGCTCTTTTTCAACATGTAGCTCTCGCCTTAGCGCCGCGCACATTCGTCTTAAACATTTCAAGAGTTTCACGGACGTGGGGAGGCTCATTTTCAACGTGTAGATCTCGCCTTAGCGCCTCGCTTATTCGTCTCAAGAGTTTTCAACAGGGATTCTTAGGATCAATGCCCCAGAGATGATGTTTTGGCACGATGTCGGAATGTCAGGTCGCAACAGTCACGTTGATTCACGGTGTTGAAGTCCCAGGAATGGCGTTCTAGCGCGAATGAGGATCGTAAAGACGCAACAGTATGGGTGATTCGCGCCGTTGAAGTCCCAGAAGTGGCGTTCTGGCACAATTCTGGATTTTCAAACGGTTGTTTTCCAACTCGGCATTTCGTTCAGTGAAGATGGATCCGTGGAGAAGCCCATGAAGAGGGAGATTGAGGGAGATTGGAGGGAGCTTTTTATTGCAATATCGTCGATGAGCCTTGGGTTTGCATTGGTCCTCCTCCTCCCCTTCCTCCAACTATCTCCTGCCTCCTCCCTCCTCCTCTTGCCTCCCTCCGCCCTCCCTCTGTTCCTCCTCGGGCGCCTCGGCACCCTCCTCTCCGACCGAGGTGGGGTGTCTGGACAGGTTTCGGCCGCCTCTGGGCAACCGCGGGCACCTCTCTTCCGCTCGTCCCTCCGCAGCCCCCCCCCCCTCCCGCCCTTTGTGGGCCCCGGAAACGGCTGGGCCGTTTTCTCACCGTTTCCAAAAAATGCCCCTTGAAAATGGAAACGGCAAAAAAACGGCGACCGGAAACGGTAAAAAAACGGCTCCAGGATTGGAACCGGAACCGTTCAAAAAACGGCGACGGAACCGGTAAAAAAACGGCGTCGGCACCGGCAACAAAAACGGCAGAACGGAACTGGTAAAAAAACGGCCCTGTCGTTTCCAGGGCCCACTCAGCTGCCGCCCCAGGTGAAGTACCCGGAGAACTTCTTCCTGCTCCGGGGCAACCACGAGTGCGCGTCCATCAACCGGATCTACGGCTTCTACGACGAGTGCAAGCGGCGCCACAGCGTCCGCCTGTGGACCTTCCGCGCGCCGACCCCCGAGGGGAGAAGGGCGCAGTCGAGGAGGGATGGGGGGATGGGGGGAGGAGGAGGAGGGGGGAGGAGGAGGGGGGAGGAGGAGGAGGAGGAGGAGGAGGAGGAGGAGGAGGAGGAGGAGGAGGAGGAGGAGGAAGCCCTCTCTTAATCGAAGAAGAACGAGCGCAATAAACGTAAAGTTTTAGCGCTCCGCGCGGACTTCTTGGATCCGCGCTGGGCCCCCTGGCGGCGCCTCTGGCGCTGCCCCTGGTGCTGCCCCTGGTGCTGCGGAGCGCTCCAGGGAGGAGGGTCCAGCGCAGGTCCAGGAAATCCGCGCGGATCGCCAGAGTTTCTGTTTATGGCGTCTTCTTGTTATGGCGTCTTCTCTTCTACAGAAGGCAGCGGAACTTCTCAGAAGCCCTCCGGCCTTCTGAGAGGTTTCTTCTGTCTTCGGGGACGGCTTAGGAAGATTCTCAGAAGGCTGGGGAATTTCCAAGCCTTCTGAGAGGGCCCGCCCCTTCTTTCTTCCACCCCTGGCTCGCCGCTGAGAGGAGAGATGGGGGGAGGAGGGGGAGGGGGGGGGCAGGTCGGACGGAGCTAGGACAAGGACACATCCGTTCCAGAGCGTGCCGGAACGCGGCTTCCAAGACGCGCCCTTCTTCTAAGCAGCCTTGCTCCCTCCACCTGCCCCCACGTGCGCGCGGCCACGGGGGAGGGGAGGGCCAGGGCGAGAGGGCGGGCCGAGGCAGGGGGGGGGAGGGCGGCCGAGGGAGGGCGGGGGAGCGCGCTCCTGCCCTCCCCGCTCCTGCGGTGAGCTCGGGCGCCAGGCCCTCCAGCGTTCCGCGAGCGACGGCTGGGAGGAGACCGATCCGCGAGTCGGAGCCCGAGATTTGGAGTGACGTTCGGCCTCGCCTTCAGGGCCAGCCCGCACCACACCATGCCCTCCCTCCCTCCTCCCTCCTGCTTCTTCGGGGGTGGACAGACCTCCTACCCTGACACGTCGATCAAGGGATTGGCCGTTTTCGGTTCGCGAGAGGGCGTCGCGGCCGTCGTTTTTGCGGGTCCAGGTCCGTCTGTTTCGGTCCCAGGCCGTTTTCACTAAGGGGAGGTCTACTAAAGGGAGGTTTGTCCACCGCCGACTTCTCTTCCAAACCTGTCTGTCCGGCATCCAGCTGGGCGCCTGGCGCTTCCCCGCTCTCTTGAGGATGGGTCGCCCCCCTTCGTCAACCTTGGGCCCCCTCGTTTACGCCGCTGCTGTAGACTTTCCAGGGGCAACAGCCGCACAGGAGCACGCTTCATTGCAAAGCCCCGCGTCGCACACACACAAACCTTCGTCTCCTCCTGTAATTCGTTTTATGCATGGACCCTACACTTCGAATGCTGGAAACCCGTCTTGCTCGCTCGCCTGATATCCTGGCCGCGTGCGCCGACGACGTTGGCATGATCGCCCAAGGTGTGCTCAAAGCGTTCACACTTCTCTTCCAGTTTCTAAAAGGGGACAGTTACTCTCATTGCTCCCCTCTGGGATCTTCCCCCGCCGGGCACGCTTGTCCCCCAGAAGCTGCTGGCTGTCCTTGTTCGTTCAAAGACGAAGTCCCTGCTGAGTATCTGGGTGGATATTTGGGAAAGGGTGGCTCTCTGGTTTCTTGGGAAGCGCTTGCCAGAACATGTCTCGCTCTGGTTTGGCATGCAAGCGCTGGGGCTGGGGCTCACTAAAAGCATCTGGTCTTCAATCATAATGCGTTCAGCTGTCTCTAGATCATGCAAGATGTTCCGTCCCTCCAAGCTTGTTCACGAGTGTGTAGCTACAAATGGTCCTGCACTTGTCGGAGGGCCTAAGAACTCGTCGAGCCCTCTCATGCTCGAGAGTCTGGAGGAACTGGTTCTTGTTTGCACATTTCCTTCTCGTGAGCTCGAGGTCGCATCCCGTGCCACCATGTTCCGCCTGGCCCGTAATTCACTTGTTTTTTTTTAACGCCCGTACCCGTGCCGCCAACATGGCCAGAAGTGATGGATGTACGCTGTTTGGAGAGAGCAATCCATGTGGATGGCGAGTACACTGTGTGCACTCATGAGCAACTCCGACCACCTGCTGCCCCTGCCCTTGGTGCTCCCAGGATCCAAGGCAAGATCGAGGGGTTTCTTCGTCATTCGTATCCTCCTAAGCATCGGGCTGCCCTTCTTTATTTGATGAAGAAGTGGAGCGGGTCCTAATCTGAGGTCCACATGGGCCAACTGACTTTGTTGATTCGCAGGCTGTTCTGTAGTTTCTGTGCTACCAAAGCGTTTAGTGATGCGTAGTGTTGTTCTGCTCGCTTGGAGGGCCCCCTTTTAATGTATTTTATGCCATGTCCCTGGTGAGGAAAAAGGCTGCACTACCTTGACTGTCAAGCCGTCCTGGATAATGTCGGGCCCCTGGTCGCTCTGTCTCCACGTTTTTGCGGCCTCTCTCGGGCCTTGTGTGTTTGTCTGTTTTCCTTGTGCTGTCCCTGTAAAGCCGCACTCGATTTTCAGCTTTTTCCGTGATTCAGTTTTTCATTGTTATCATGATTTTTGTTTTGCGCCTCGCCTCTCGCTCTCAGGGGAAAGTTCGTGGCTCGCTGCTCGCGCGAAGTGCTTTGGCAGTTTTCGGCTCGTGGGGTTCCCCAGAAGGCCCCGGGGCCGTCAAAGCGCACGACTCCAGGATGACAGGTTAGTCATGGGGGAGAGGTCGAGAATTCCGTCCGGAAGCTCACGTCTTTACGTCGAACAACACACAATTGCGTACATGCGCACATTTATATGCAGATATCTGTACATTTTTGGATCTCCTCGCGGATTTCTTGGTCGGCGCCAGGGAGGGGGGTCCAGCGCCGATCCAGGAAATTCGCGCGCAGTTGGAAAAGTTGATGTTTCTTATTACCAGATCACGACGTCGTGGGCCTGGGCGTCTTCCAGCTACGGCAGGTTCTTGCCGCGCCGATGCGGCGGAGACGCCAGCGGCGGCGTTCAATATTGAACGCTCTTCGCTGCCGGTGGTCATCGGCGGGTCCAGATCGCCCCCGCCCCCCATCGGCCTGCCAGGAAAACGTTCACGGACTGCTTCAACTGCCTTCCAGTGAGCGCCGCGACTCCGCCCGCCGAAATATCCCCGCGGCTGGCTGGAGGTTGGAAGTGGTGCGCGCGAAAGTTTCTCTGACGCCGCCCCCAACGGGAAAGCGCATTTCGTTTTCGCGTCGTGCGCAGCCTGCGTTCGAAACCCTGCGCAGTTTCCCCTGGCCGCGAGGCCTAGTGGCGGCAGCAAGGCTTCCTCTGCTGCCACGACGGCCGGCGGACGCCTGGCGTCCCGCCATTGTCCCCGACCGTGTCATGGTGCGGTGGTTTTCCGCGGGCACCCGCTGAAGAACCAGAGCAGCAGTTGTGATGCCCGTGCTCGTGGTGACAGCCGTGCAGGCAAGAATCACCACCCACCAAGCCACCCCAACCCGACCCGAAGGCCTCAAATTGACCACCGTTTCCAGTGGGGTGGGGGGGGGGGTCGGGGAACATCGAGAAAACACATGTGGAACCCGTACCCCCCCCAACCCGAAATTCGGGTCTTCGGGTTGGGTTGAGGTGGTCTGGTAGGTAGTCAAATAAGGTCAACATATCCCCAAGCAGTGCATGCACCCAGCCCATGCCTTGGCATCGCTCGGACGTGTGCGTTGTTTTTCCTTCGGCGAGGGCCATCGAGGAGCCTCCTTGATCCTTTGGCGAAAAAGCCACGCACGAAACCGAACAAAAACACAGGGAATGGACGCCCGAGCGATGGCGAGTGGGCGCCCCATGGTTGGCGCTGAGGGCCGCTGCGGCCGCTCTGGGTCAGTGCCCTGGGGCCGGGTGCCCTGTGCGTTGGTGCCCTATGTTCGGGGGAACGTAAGACTCGGATAAGCCAGAACTCGGGATTGCCGACGTTTTTTGACGAGCGCGTCCTGGATTTTGACGGTCCAGTTTTCGTGGGATGTTTGCAGCGGGAGTTCGCGTCAAATTTCTGATTGGGTCTCGTCTCTTTTATGATGGCCCTGTCAGGCCAACCCGAGTCCCCCGTACCCGAGTCTTACGTCTCCCCGATATGTGTCCCTCTGGGCCGCAGCTGGCCCTCCCGGATGCCTTTGCCGCTGCACGCTGTCCCTGCGGGCCGCGAGCGGCTGCTCCTCCCCGGTGCCCTCTGCGCGGTGCGCCGAGGCTCCCCGCCTAATCAGAGGAGGGAAAGCTACCCCGCTGCTACCCTTCCCTCGTCTTCCTTCCCACTTCTTGGGCCTCCTGGCAGGCCCTCGTCGCCACCGCTGGATTCGCCTCGAAATCCTGGCCAGGACGCACCCTCGGAGAGGTCCAGGGAGTAGCGGTATCGGTACCTCTTGGCCTCCCTGGTCTAAGGCTGCCGGCGGGCCGCAGTCTGCCGTTCCTCGTCGGTGCCCCATACTCGGAGTGCCCAGGGGCTCCCTGCTCAAAGTTCCCTGAGGGCCAGCCGTTCCCGCCCGGTGCCCCTTTACCGAGCGGTTGGTGCCCTGTGGCTCTCTGCCTGCAATGGTTCCCCGCGGGACAGCAGTCGGCCGTCGGCGCACGCTGCCCCCGCTGGCCAGTGCCGCTCGGTTCCTGGTTCGTGGTCCCAGCCGTTCGCGCCCTGGCACTCCCTTCGTGGCATCGCCGCTAGTTTGCTCGTCGGTAGTGCCAGATCCGACTGCTTCGGGCCCACGTGAAAGCATCACAGTGTCCATGCAACAATTACGGCAGCCCGCGTTCCATGTCGCATTTTTGAGGTAGCAGCAATGCCTTGAGGGAGCAGTGGTTCAGGTGGTCGCAATTCCCAATACCGCACAATTCCAGGTAATAGCATTTCAGGTCGTGGCATGCCATTTGGAGGGCATGTAGACCTAATGCGCACCCCATCCTCCGCTTCGAACTTCTTCATCGGCTGCAAGCCGGTCTAATAGGTGATTATGGAAGACGTTTACAGCGAATCACCGCCGCCCCCTGCTTTCTGAAGACGCCCACGCGCGCAAACGTAGGGCCGAAATCTGGCCTAGATATTGCACTAATTATGTGTTCCCCCAGCTACCGTGGACCTCCGTGGGGGAACGCTTGGGCGAGGAACGCAGGACGAGGAAATGGGGGTGAAGAAAGACGAGGAGGAGGAGAAGGAGGAGGAGAGGGAGGGGGAAAATGAGCAGGAGGAGGAGGAGGAGGAGGAGGAGGAGGAGGAGGAGGAGGAGGAGGAGGAGGAGGAGGAGGAGTAAGACGAGTAGGCCTCTTGAGGCCCTCACGGCAGCCCCCTGAGGGGCCTCTGAGGAGCCTCTGAGGGGCCTCTGAGCTCTTGGGGCATGCGGCGGGCGGCGACGGGCGGCGACAAGCCGGCGTCGGCGGCTACAAAGCGGCCAGAGCGGCCCGCGGGCCCAGTTCCTTGGAAAAGCAGTAAGAACCCTTAAGTGCAAGCACTGCTCAGGTAAAAGAGACTATACGTGGAACAGTCCATGTGTGGCAAGCTGTATCGTGCGATCTGTTTTGTGCACGCTGTGTGGTGCAGCCTGTGCGGTGCAAACTGTGAGGTGTAAGTTCTGTGCCGTGCAGCGCATGTGGTGCAGGCTGTACGGAGGACCCTGTGGTGCAGGCTATGCGGAGCGGGCTAGATTCAAGAGGAAAAAAAAAACACAGACACAATTAATCGTCGAGTCCCAGGAACATATGGGAAGGATGCAGCATAACATTTCCGCTGGGCGACTAAGAAGCAGCCCTCAAGTGCAGTGGCTGATGGCCCAATACGTGGGAACATAAGCTCAAGTAAGTGAGTGTCAAGCGAGAGCCCCACTTGTAAACCGTCCACCGTCCGTGAAGCCGCTCCCGGCCTCGGTGCCGGTGGCCTCGGGACATCACGCAGCGGGAGGATCCAAGCGGGAAGCCCAGTTTCGCAGAGAGCCGCCCTCCATCTGCGCGACTGCTGCGCACGCACGGACTCTTTGACGGCACGTGCCCAGCCAGACTGTGCTTACGACCCGCATTCCGTCCGTTCTGCTGCTGCACGTTTTGATGACGAGTGCGTGTGGCGCGGAGGCGATGCTTACATTTTGGACACGATCTGCGCCTCATCCGCGTAAGTTTTGTGTAACTCCAGGCATGGTGCCCATGCCATTTGCCGAAGTCTCGTTCGAAGCGTCTTGTGCGCCCTGCCGAGCCTGGTGGTGCGCCAATGTGGGGTGAAGACGATTGTGAGGTAGCATGAGGGAGACTGATCTGGGATGGCCGCGAGGGAGACTGTAGGAGTGTGAAAGAGGACGGAGAGTGAGGAGGAGGATGAGGAGGAGGAGGAGGATGAGGAGGATGAGGAGGAGGAGGAGGAGGAGGAGGAGGAGGAGGAGGAGGAGGAGGAGGAGGAGGAGGAGGAGGAGTAGGGGGGGCGGGCGGCGGGGGGGGGCAGGAAGAGGATCATGCGTCAGGACCGTCGAGGAGGAGAAGGGGACGATGAGGGGGAACGTAGGATGATAGATGAGGGGCAAAAGCGGGTGAACGAGTTGGAAGAAGAGGAGGGAACGGAGGATGCGGAGGAGGGTGAGGGGGAGCGGGAGGAGGAAACACAGAGGGAGACGGAATGTGGAGGGAAGATGGGGAGGAGGGAACAGAGGAGGCATGAGGTGGATGAGCAGGGTGGTGCTGAGTATTTTGGAAGGTGGTGGAGGTTAGACAGAAGCGAAACGTGAGGATAGGATGATGAGGTTGCGGGAGGAGTCAACGAAGAGGATGCGGAGGGGGAGGTGAGCGGGAGGGGCGAGGCGAGGGAGGAGGGAGAAAGGATGTTCATGATGAAAGAGGAGAAGGCCTGATGAAAGAGGAGAAGGCAGGAAAGCGGTGGAGGATTCTGTCAGGGATAAGCGTACAGGTAGAGGAGCAGGATGAACAGGAGGATGAGGTGGTGATGAAGGTAATCTCAAACATATGTAAGCACAAGAAGAGGCTGGTGATGAGAATTTAGATGCTGATGCTGCTGCTGCTAATGATAAAGCTGATGACGATGCTGATGGTGGTTGTGATGATGCTGCTGACGATGATGACGACGACGAGGCGACGATGCTGCTGATGATGATGATGACGACGCTAGGGATGATGAGGATGATGGTGTTGGTTGTGATTATGATGGTGCTGATGATGCTGCTGCGGCTGATGAGGATTATGATGATGATGATGGTGATGCTGTCGATGATGCTAATGATAATGATGATGCTAACAGTGCTGCTGATGCTGATAATGATGTTGCTGATGGTGCTGATGATGATGGTGCCGATGCTGCTGATGATGATGATGTCGATGCTGATGCTGCTGTTGATGATGCTGACGATGATGATGCTGATGATGATGCCGACGACGATGCTGATGATGCTGCCGATGATGCTGCTGCTGTTGATGATGCTGACCATGATGATGCTGATGCTGATGCTGAGGACGACGACGGGGCTGATGCTGATGACGATGATGACGACGCAGATGCTGATGATGATGCTGATGCTGATGCTGCTGAGGCTGATGCTGATGATGCTGGTGCTGATGACGATGATGATGATGATGATGATGATGATGATGATGATGATGCTGATGCTGCTGATGATGCTGCTGATGCTGCTGATGATGCTGATGCTGATGCTGAGGCTGTTGCTGCTGCTGATGGGGATGATGCTGATGCTGCTGTTGCTGCTGAGGAGGATGTTGTTGATGATGCTGATGATAGTGATGTTGACCATGCTGAAGAAGACTATGACTACGAAGATGCAGATGATGCTGATTCTGCTGATGCTGATGCGGCTGTTGATGATGCTGATGACGATGTTGCTGATGCTGAAGCTGATGACGACGATGCTGATGATGATATCGGTGATGATGCTGTTGTTGACGATGCTGACGATTGTGATGCTGATGATGATGGTGATGGTGATGCTTGTGATTAGGGTGATGCTGATGATGTTGCTGCGGCTGATGCTGGTGATGCTGATGCTGATGCTGATGCTGATGATGCTGATGATGCTGATGATGCTGATGATGCTCATACTGATGATGATGCTGCTGATGACGATGATAATGGTGCTGATGCTGCCGATGATGATGCCGATGCTGACGCTGCTGTTGATGATGCTGATGATGATGCTGATGCCGATGCGGATGACGACGACCATGCTGATGCTGATGATGTCGATGAAGGTGCAGATGCTGAGGATGCTGCTGATGCTTATGCTGCTGCTGATGATGCTGACGATGCTGATGCTGATGATGA